TTTCAGCACTCTGGGAACGGGATAGAATTCAAAATGACTTCTTTTATTTGTGCATTTAAAAGCACCCACATGCATCTACCTGCAGGTGGTGAGAACATGCCTGTCAGATCGGTCCTAGCTGGGAGGCTCAGAGGCTTGGGCTGTGCAGGAAGCACATCAGGGACAAATCTTGTGTTGGGACACATGGAAGAGTGTCCAGGGCTGATCAGAGCNCAACAAACTGGCTCATTCAGTTTCATTTTTCTAAGGTTAACTATTTAATTCGCATGAGTTTTGTTTCACGTCCTGCCCCTCTTCACCTAGCTGGAACCCCTCCCTCAGACTACCTCCCTCTGGCCTCTCCTCCCCTCCAGCAGAATATAGATTCTCAAGGGACTTCAAAACTATCCCAGGCAATTTTAGCCCCAAGGCTGAGGCTTCCACCTGCAGGATGTGTCCCCCGGCTCCGCTGGAGTTCTGCCCTCCAGGACCTGAGAAAGTGGCATCTCAGTGCCTAAGGCAAGTCCCAGGCACAGAATACCCTGATCCTGGATCCTCTGCTCTCTGAGAGTCCTCAGCATTGCCAGGCCCTGTCACCGGCCCCTTGGGGGAAATCCTTGAGGCTTTGTGTGTCTTATCTATCCACATAGAGCCCCCAGGAAGGAGACTTCCCAACCCTTTCCCTCTGGGCTACCCCATTACATCCAGATAGTGCCTGACACTTCATAAAGGAGCCGACATGAGTAAAAGTGCAGACAGAGGTGTGGGGCTCACCTTCACCAGGGACGTCTCCAGCACTCAGGGACCTGCAGCTGGCCACCATCCCCTGAACAAGTCGGAAGTGGGGCCTTTCCACAGAGCCAGTGGTGGGAGGCCCCAAGAAGGGAACTAGTAGTTTAGTTATTGAAACCTAGCCGTGTTCACATTTCACCACCAGCCTGGCCAGGGTGCAGTAGGCAAGGAGTAGCGAGGCCAAAGCCTGGAGAAGCACGTGATGAAAGGGCAGAGGAAGTGGGTGCAAGCGGCCACCAGCTCAGGTGCCTTTCCTCTGTGGAGACGACACGCACGCGAGACAGGAACTGCTTGTCCCAGCTGAGGCAGCACCAGCTCCCACAGGCCAGGGCACCCTGGAGAGCTGGAGGAGCCCGTGAGTGAAGTGGGAGGAAGCTCTCAAAGGGAACGATGTGGATGTGCGGCCTCGGGGAAGCTCAGGTGCAAGAGAAGTGAGGGGAGAGCGTGAAGGGGCTCAGGAGGAAAAAAAACTAATTTAGAAACACCCCTGAAAACAGCTCCAGGGACCCAGATGTGTGATGAACAGATCACCTGGCAGAGACAGGCTAGTTAAAATAAGTCACAGGAAAGTTACCTGCTTGCCAAAGAAGTGTTCCTCCAAGTTATGGGTTCTACCACCTCGGTTCCAACAAAATTCTGTCAGTAATGGATCCCATAGTAATGTTTGTTAAAGCCCTGAAATGGAGGAGGGTGAGCAGACAGGAAGGGGAGATATGTTCCCACAGCCTAGACTCTAGAGAAAAGACACTAGCCCAGAGTCACACTCAGACTAGAGGAGCCCAAAGAGAGGGCTAGACGAGATGGAAATGTGGTCACCAAATATGTAAAACACACCGTGGTCTTATGGA